AAATATTGAAAAATTACCCTATATAAATTATTTTGATAAAATATACATTTGTTGGGGTTTATCATAAACATACCATAAACTCTTTTATCTTTTTTTGTTTGTTATCCCTTACATCATTATTAGACATATTTGACCTTTTATCATTTTGGAGCATTAACTTAAATACAGTCTCAGTGTCTCACATTGTTACCAAAAAAGGGAAATAAAATTATTGAAATGAAATAGTAACTGATAGGGTGGGTAAAAAATCTGGCTGATATCAGAATGGGTTGGTGTAAAAAAGCCCGTTTTGTGGCTTAAACATGTCTGGCCCGAAGTTAAAACAAAAATACCGACCGTGTCATGTGATCCTTCCAACAACCTACACGTGTCAATATCAGCAGATAACCACGTCATCGTAATAACGGAAGATCTTTCGGCCCATGCTTACCGGTGCAGCAGGTAACGTACACAACATTAATTACGTAATTAGACGGCGTTAAAAGTATTCGAAACGCCTTTTCTCATGCCCGAATTTGTTACTTGTGTCATCATTGTTTTGCCCGAAGAAGAGAGAGTTAGTTATTGTGTAGTAACGGAATACCTGCCGTTTTAGTAGCGAGAAACGACACGTCAACTAAATCCGAAAGGCATGCGTCAGCGTCTACCTCATGACCATGGCTCAGGACCCTACCTTCCATTTTCTTCTATCTCCATCTAACTTAATTTTATTTATTTACATTTTCAAGAAATATAAAACTAAACTATACGAAATTGAAATCGAGGAAATGTATGAACTGAATTCAGCTAGTGATTGTTCTTTTTTGAATCATTGTATTGATTTCGGTTTTGGATTTGATTTCTAACAAGATGTATTTCTAATTTTAGCATTTTTTTGAAAGAAATTCATATTATGATGTCATCTAAAATAAATGCATGTATTGTTTGGTACTTAATCAATGATGATGAATACTTAAAATGGCAGAGTTGATGAGAAATGAAAGTGGCAACAAACTGAGCTGAGAGAGGTCAAAACATTAACCGGAAGATAGGGAAACGTAGACTACTCAGTTGGTGGCTTTTGTTTCTGCCACGACAACGCCACTCGATCTTAGTAGTATCTTATTTCTTTAATCTTGATTAGTTCTAAACCTAATCATTTTGCATTAATTAATTGTACTCTCGTAATTAATACATCGAATCGAAAGACCGTGTCCCAATAATTCGCATGATCTTTGGGAGCCGAATACTTTAAATGCCTTTTATTATAAAAATGTTGGAATATTAATACTATATTGCTAGCTTATTGGCTTGTACTAACATAAATGATGATCAATTTAACAAAAAAAAAACTTTAGATTAATGGAATACTTTAAAAGTTTTATGTGACAGTTGACTCGGTTTCAAAATCAATTTATATTAATGGAGTACTTTAAATTATTTTCCAAAAATCGAATTTGATTTTGTAAAGAAGCGTGAATCATGACCATAAATAATAGCATGTCATTTAAAACGAAGGAGATAGCTACACTACATGGACATGTCACGGTTAGGCCAATTCAATAGAATTAAATAACGAAATTAATTGATATTTGCCCATTGATCATTTCCTTTTTTTTTTTTTGGTAGGATCCCATTGATCATTTCCTTTGATCAATACCCTTAAATGATTTAAAAAAAAAAACACGTGTATTATTTAATGGATCATTAATTCAAACTTAAGACGAAATGACAATAGACACTACTCACCAGTCTAAGATATCTACATTAAATTAATATAAACCATCAAATATAAACTCGATTTTGGTTTATGGAAAAAGAAAAATAAAAGAGTTGGTTTAAGATATGTCACAGAACACGAGAGTATTGAATTATTTAAACATCTACATGAGTAATTTTATGTTTTACAAAACTAGATGCAGCCTGAAGATAAATTCAACTCTCTTCGGTATACAAAACAATTACGATTACTAACACAAATGACTAGGATATATGAACAAATCTGCATGACGTTGATGTTTCTCTACCTTGTTCATGAAAGTCTTGAAAAACTCGTTTTTGTTTTTGTTTTTGTTTTTGTTTTTGTTTTGGGGTGAATGATTACTTTTGGACCTACTATGAACTAAGATGCTTCTACCTACTAAGTATAATTTTTTTTCTTGGGTGAAAAATGAGTAGAAAAGAGAAGACAAAATTTTGGTTACAACATAAAAGTTCTTAAATTCAATAGATTTAATATGAATGGGATTATGGGACCTTCATAATATTTTTGGCTAGTTACGTGTCACAATTTTGGATGCTTTTATTTATTGCCTCTTCTATTTTAGAGGTTGGTATCATTTTTGGTCCACGCACGTGAATTATAATTTTTTTTCTGTCAAACACCATTTTATTAAATAATCGGGCAGAAACTTTCTTTTAGAGAGAGTCAATCCGGAGCCGATATGTTTACATGAGATAATAGGGAACCTTGTGCTCTTGCTTTTTTTGCGAGACAATCGGCACGAACATTGTTACAACGAGGAATAAATCTAATAGAAAAAGAGGGGAAAGAAAGCTTCAAAAGCTTAAAATGTTGCAATTCTACTGCTAAAGTAGGCCTATCAGAAGGGTTATTCAAAATGGTAATTAGTTCGGAGCAGTCAGTGGCGAAGCCAAAACTCGTCTTCGAATCTGAGATGAGGCATTCTATCGCCCAAAGAAGGGTTTCGAATTCGGCTTGCAGAGGCGATAGTTCCCGACAAGAACTTTTCAATCCCAGCAAGATAAGGGTTTCATTATCCAAAACAATCCACCCGTACCCACTTGTCCGTGATATGTTAAGAAGCATCAATTTGACATTCAGATGGAGCGTCTCCGGTGAATGTAGTATCAAGAGGAATCCTCACTAATTACAAATTATATACAGTATATTATACATTTTCAGTCATTTTTCTTTTTGTTATAATGAAGAATATCCATCGTACTCTAAACATTTTACGAGGGATCATTTTAAATTTAAATAGTTTCTGCTATAATTTATATAATTGTGGGCTTATAAATTAATAGTGAAATTGGGCCAGATTCAATATCTGATTCTAACTTTCTCGGTAATCAATTTTGGGCCCAAAGAGAGGAGTGTTTCGTTCGCGTTTGATTTCATTCTTCCAAAGATAATGCAATCAAAATTTTTCAAATAGCTATAGAAGTCATCTCACCTAATTTATAAAATCAAGTGGAAAGAAAACAGTGGAGTTAGCAAAAAAATATTCTAGACCTTTAACATACAAATCTACGATATGCAAATTATACTTTTTAGGAAATAAACTTAAGGTATGGTGTAAAAATATTATTAAACTTGTGATCAACTAATAATTTATTTTTATTTTTCCATCACCAGCTAAATAAATTTCTACAATGGGATACCTTTTTTTTAAAATGAAAAAAGGCTGATAATTTGGATGCAATAATAGAGCCAATAATTTAGGTTGTACTAGTAGTATGTAAAAGAAAAGGGTGAACGACCTGTGTCCCCCCACGAAGTTTCATATAGTACCATAACAACACAGATTTCGGGTCTCGTCTCCAGTCCACACAAAACGAAAGTTAAACTCTAGTTTCTCTCTAAATTGAAAGTTCGAGACCTCAGTCTCCATAAATTCAATTTTCGTGGTTTATCATTGGTTTACTGTGCTGAACCCGATGCCAAACCAAAACCCAGAATAATAAACCGATTTGAAACCCAATATGATACAGATGCCGAACCTTGTCGCTGGGAGATTCTTCCCGCCGACGGCAACGTTCTCCATGATTGATGATGCTAATGAATCGTAAAGAACCAAGATCACTTAAGGATCAAAACCACATTGTATCTATCTTTTGAAGAAAGACGATGAATAAAGGTTGAAAATTGAAAGGAGAGTAAGGATCGTGGTGAGTTTTTTTTTTTCCGATCAATCTTTTTTTTTTAATTGTTCTTGGTTTAGGATTACCCATAAACAGATTTGACAAAAGAATAGTTTCGTTGGCTCACAAATATCGCTTTGAGCAGTAAAACGCGGGTAATCACTATTTTCTAATCTCTTTATTTATTGGATCCATACATAATTAGATGAACTTATATAATTAACCAACGCCATTGATAACTTAAAAAGAAGCTTAATTAGCTTAATTTAATATGAAATGAAAATACAACCTGGAGATTGTTTTAAATTAATTCAAACGTTGACATTTGTGGTTATAACCAGTCCAATTTAGCTTCTATCTAATATAGCAAAATTAATCATCACTGCACTAATTAAAGACGAGAACTTGTTCGATTTCAAATGAAAGAGATGACATTACCAGACCAAATACAATTATCAACGACGAGATTGAACAAGTTTAAATCTTCTAGAGATTTATCAATTGATTCTTCAGAAGACGACGCGAAACTGTGGAGCATCTTTGCCGTCGGCGGGAAGAATCTCCCAGCGACAAGGTTCGAGATCGTCGGAAACTGGTGGCCGCTACGAAGCTGAACTCGAAAACCGTCGCGCGATCGGGCCGAGGAACTTCTATGGCTCCGTTCATCCCCGGAGCTGGAGTTTATGATTTCGGCATCTGTATCATCTTGGGTTTCAAATCGGTTTATTATTCTGGGTTTTGGTTTGGCATCGGGTTCGGCACAGTAAACCAATGATAAACCACGAAAATTGAATTTATAGAGACTGAGGTCTCGAACTTTCAATTTAAGGGGGAACTGGAGTTTAACTTTCGTTTTGTGTGGACTGGAGACGAGACCCGAAATCTGTGTTGTTATGGTACTATATGAAACTTCGTGGGGAGGGACACAGATCGTTTACCCAAAAAAAAAAATGAAGAAGTTGGCAGAACGAATGAAAAGACAGATATACCCTTGAGGGCACTGTGATCATTAAAACGCTTTGACTTTGACAGATTAGTTGACCGTAACCACGTGGCAACATCTGAGAGCGAGTACACATGTACATCAAACGTAGGCAGTGGAGAATTAGATACTCTCGCACTTTCCTAATACTAATAGTATTTGTTTCAGACCAAATCTTAGCTGTAATACTAGTATTTGTCTCCCTTCGAAAAAAAGAAAGAAGAAATCTTCAATTCGAGAAACTAGACCAAGGTTATTCAGTTCTTGTTCGTCTTAGTTCTCGAAGGTGTGTTCTGTTTTCTTGGGTTAGTCCTTTTATATTTCTTCGTTTATAGAAGTTAAGTCCTTGTCTTGTTCTTGTCTTTGTTTGCTTCAATCTCTGTTTGAAGCTGTTCTGTTTTATGTTCTATATGGTCTCAAGCTCATGTGTTTGATTCGATTCCTTAAGTATCGTGCTTCAGCCCCTTTTTAGTCCCAAATATGAATCTCTCTTTGTTGAAGTTTCAGGTCTATGAGGTTAACGGTTTCTCCTGAAATGTTAATTTGGTGCTTTAATATGTGAAGTATTAGTCAATTGATACATTTTTAGGGGCTTGAATGTTTAATCCCACTGCTCCAATGTAATTAGAATTCTGCTTTGTTTGACTAATATGGTAGGAGCCTTGGACTTGAATGTGTTTTATAATCTTAAAGTTGGATCTTTTGGACAAATAGTTGGAGGGAATTGGTCTGAAGCAATGCAGTTATATCATCATCCTTACTCATTAGACAGCCAAAGAGTGAGACTAGCTTTGGAAGAGAAAGGCATTGATTACACATCATACCATGTGAATCCCATCACAGGCAAGCACATGGACCCTTCCTTCTTTAGGATGAATCCCAACGCTAAACTTCCCGTTTTCAGGAATGGTTCTCACATCATTTTGGACACTATTGAGATCATAGAGTATGTTACTCACCTTTATTGATACTCTCCCTTTTGGTGATTAAAGTAATTAAAGCTTTTGTGGGGTTATGAATTTTGTAGGTACTTAGAGAGAATAGCTGAGGTTTCCTCTGGTATAGAGGATGCTACTTTTGGCAGAGAAGTTCTTGAATGGATGCGGAAGATTAGGGAATGGGACTCCAAGCTTTTCACTCTTGCTCACATACCGGATAATCGTCGCCTCTATGTTTCCAAGTTCTTGAGGATGGTTGTGATTGCAAGGATGGCTGAGTCTCCAGACTTAGCTAGTGCTTACCATAGGAAGCTAAGGGAAGCGTACGATACAGAAGACAAACTAAAAGACCCTGGGGCCTTAAGGAGAAGCAAAGACCATTTGCTTAGGCTTCTAGATGAGGTTGAAACAAAGCTAGAGGGGACAACGTATTTGGCAGGGAATGAGTTTAGTATGGCTGATGTAATGCTAATCCCGGTGCTAGCTCGGTTATCGCTCTTGGATTTGGAAGAGGAGTATATAAGTAGCAGGAAGAATCTTGGTGAGTATTGGGCTGTTGTGAGGAGGCGGCCATGTTACAAGAGGGTAATTGGAAGGTACTTCAATGGCTGGAGAAAATATGCAACACTTGTAAAAACTTGGATGTTTGTTAGAGTCAGAAGTTTGCTCAGAAAATACTGATTTGTCAAAAATTTGGTTTTTTTTTTTTTTTTCCACTTTCATTTTACAGGACATTGCTTGTAAAGTCGAGAAAAAGCTTATTGCCCATATTTTTGATCACCAAAAATGAGAAAAATATTTATTTAAGAAGTTTGCGATGCAAAGATCTCAGGGTAATATCTTTGCAGAAGCGAATAAAGATTAAAGAATGTGATTTCTTTTACATTGAAATGTGACTTTTAATTATAAAAGAATTTAGAATATACTAAAGAAAGGAAAGGGAAAGAAAAGAAACGCACATGACTCCCCTAAAGGGGATTGATTTTCCTATGAGCCAAATAAACCAATCAATCACTGTAATTCTCCTTTAAGACCTGCACTGTCTCCATTTCAACTTCATCGACTGTACTTCTCTAAAATTATGAATACTTAACTGTTGAGCTTCTTCTCTAAAGTTAGATTCCCAGGTATAGGGCTGTTTACTGTTTTCTCCCACCCGTTGTTCCGCAACCATGGAGGAACGTTCTGTTTCTGTTGCCGAAAGTAAGTTGTTCCTATATCAAATGAACTCTCTCTCTTTCGGTTTGGAGCAGTTGAGTCAGTCACAGGTGTAGCCGGTAAGATCTCATTGGAGTAAGTCGGGTTTCGAATGGAGGAGGAACAGGCTATTACATTTCTCTTAGCGAAAAACTCACCATGAGACACTGGCGGTAGAGGTGGAAATGGATAGAACGGCATCCCAGGAGCAACAGACCAGGTGGTCGGGTCCTCTTTGCCGGGTGAACCAAATTGATGAACAATGCTAAGTGGGATCCCATAGGAAACTGGTAAGCAAGAAAGGAACTTTTGTTGCGGCTGTGCAGTTATCGCATCAGGCACATCTGTGCAGGGTGATGAAAACCCGGGTGGAAGGTCATCTTGGACATCCTGATTACCATTAGTTTCATCTGTTTGTTGAGACGAGATAGTCATGGTTCTTTGTTCTTTTGTCTTAGACGGCTGGTCCCATCTGCTTTTGCGCTTGCGTCCATTTGTTTCAGGAAGACTGGAATTAGGTTCTGAATATCCCTCAGATACAGATGCTGTTTCAGGAGTTGCAGCCATTGATGGTGTGACAGACGCAGCTGGTTCTGCAGGTCTTGGGGACTTATGTTCATATCGAGGTTCTTGTGAAGCTCTGAACCTGCTGTTTATAGGTGACCTCATAGACTCCGATCTCTCCTCCCTGTCGATGCGCCAAGGTTTTCTAAAATGTTTAGGTATCCATCTGTCTCGGAAGCTCCGTGCAATTCGATGAACCTGCATACACATGAAAATAATTGGAAATTAAAAGCTAAACCCTAGATACTCATCTGTTCAAGGTCCAAAAATACAGATCACTAAAACAAATCAGGAGTCCAAGATTCAATACAGTTTCATAAGAGTAAAAGGGATGCCTGGTACCGTTATGTCTGCATGCTCGGTGAATGATAGAATAGAGTCCTTAAAGCTGCACGTAGATAAACATTTTAATGTCATATTGTGTCCTACGAGAATCTAAAGAACTAAGGTGTAAAAGCAAGGTTCAATGAAGACAGATGAAACTATTTTTGGAACCAGGTAACAGTTCAAAATTCTAGCAAGTTACTTAGAGAACCAGATTAGTATGAAAAGGTAAAGCAATTTACTAGACAGCCAAATTTCAACAACCTTACTAGTGACAGCATCATTTCTTTTCAATTTTTTGATATGTTAGTTTCCACTCGATCAAGGATAAGAACCAATATCTGGTCGATTAAACTTTACTAACCTTTCCATCCCTACGCAAGGAGGTCTTCTGATTATATGCTCCAGTGCAAGGATTTCCCTTGTAGCAAGATACTCTAATACCTGAACGTAAATTCAGTTATATTGCCTTGTAAGCAAGCTTAAAAATTTCAAGGAAGCATCAGCTAGAAAAGTTAATTTCAAAATTTCTGCTATCCACATTGCCTAATATGTAAGAAGTACTGCCTTTGGGTTTGAATTTATCATTAACAAACATGATGATACGACAAATTTAAAGATAACCACTGCCAAGTGTGTTTGTTAAAAGGAATATACCTTCAGAAGTTTCCGGAGTATAGGGATCCTTTTAAAATCACTCCGGTATTGTTTCATGATATTATGTAACATTTGCAGACCTGGATGTGTTTGTGGGTTATTTCATCTTTACGAGATAAGGAAAGTTCATAAGATTAAAAAAACAGATAAAAAACATGGACCAAACTAGAAGAAGACTGACGTACCATTCTTGTTGATTACGTCAACTAAAACAGATTTTGACTTTGTCTTCAAAAGGGCATCAAGAATCATTGAAAGATCTCGATTGCTGCAATAGGTTCACAAACAACAGGAATTCAGACACAGGATGCAGAGTATGATAAATCTACAATGGGAACAAAGATAAGCAGGTCAGATTCTTGAAGACCTATGAACTCCTTCCGTGCCTCGGGAAGCGGCAGTGAGCAGCAGAAGTTTCAAGTAGCCTTTTGCTGAATCCTGTTTGTGTAAGAACAGAAAACCAACTAAGTATGCACTGCTATTGCTCGACAAAGGGGAAGTATTAAGAATAAAGAGAATTATGCCAAGGATGTACCAAGGAAAAAAAAAGTGCATGATCTTACAAACCCCACAAAAAAACTACCTTAGAAAGGAACAAAATGTGATGTCTTAACCTTATAACATAACTAATTGAAGTATAGACTTAAGGAGTAATGCTATATAAACTTACCCTCCGCTTGCTTATCCCTCCTACGGCATCTAGTAACTCGTTCAGTTTCCCTTCAACTGCAAAATTGGTGGTGCTATTAACAATTCACGTTACATGGTGATGGTATCTTAACAATTCACGTCTAAAACTAGTACATTACATGTTTCAATACGCCCGCTGGAAGAAACTTCCTCTGATCCTTTAGATTTGATAGGCTGCTGTTGTAACTTATTGACTGGTATTATCTGTGCTTTGTTAACACCAGATAAAATACCTCCTTTGTCTCGCTTACTAGAAACAGATAAGCGAGAAGTTTTCATACGAGGACGAGGACGAGGCCGTGGAAGTATCTTTTTATCTTCTCCCGATCCATGCTTTGTCGTCATATCAGTATTTGCACCACCCGAGGACAGTCTGCTAAGAGAACTGGACGTGGGAGATGTGCTTTTAGTCTTCTTTTCAACGGGAACCTCTTGCTGGACAGCACTAACAGCTATGCCTGACGGAAGTTCCTTCAAAACTTCAGTTGGCTGAAGAAGAGGTGGAGGAATTTCTCTCTCAGGAAGTTTTACAGATACTGAGCTCTGTGATTGGGCATTATCAGGAGCAAGGTCCTTGGAACCATTAACCGTTTCAGAGTTCTGTGGCATTTGCTCGTCAGCGTCATCAATGAAGGTCCTAGATGTTGCATCTAAGATTCCTTCTCCACTTTCATCATCATCAAGGATCACAAGTTCAGGATACTCTTCATCTGAATCACTTTGAATAATTACATCACCATTCAGAGGATCTCCCCCAATATACCCTCTGCAATGCGATGACCCACAATAGCACTTTTTGGCGGCAGCACCAAAAACCCTCACATAGTTGTAGTCAAATGTCAACTCTTGACCCTGGTAACGAACCAGACAGATTAAAAACTACTGAAATGATACTCGCAGAATAGCAAGCGCAGGAGAGCCTACCTTCTTAAGGTCTTTCATGGAGAATATTCCAACGCAAATTTCACCATTCACCATCCACTGCAAAACATTTAAGAAGTAACAAATGAAAAACATACACATAAGTAGGAAAAGTGGAATACCTTAACAAAAAATAAAGAACCAGACGAGCTCAAAAAAAAATTTCCAACTCAGATCACTGAATTTATAATCAGACTCGATGCATGATATCACACAGAACACTTTGTAGTCACCTTTTCAGTACGGCAGTTTGGTTCACAGCTATGGTTAATGAAACGCCCTAGGTTTCCCTTTGCACCAGCATCTATTACCTGCATTAAAAAATTAAAGAAGTTATTGCAAGGTGCAACACAGAGCATATTCTAAGGGAAGCACAAAAAGGGAATACGAGAAAGAAATTTAAAGCCAGTGCAGATGATATGCGAAGGATGGAATTATTACAAATAAGTAACCAATCTGTGCTAGGCCAGTTAGATAAATGTCCAAAACCCTCAGAAGCTTTTGCGCTAAACTAGTTGGGACTTTTTAATCTGTTAACTTTAGAGCTTATGTAAAGATGGTGATACTGATAAAGATACCAACAAGTGTCAGATGAAAGAAGATACAGAGAGAAAAAGATTGTCTATTCATCTTACTCTTGCAAAGGTTTTTTTTTTTTGGTGCACGTGTATCAAATAAGAGACCTAAAAGTAACTAACCCGAGGTACAAGCAAATTGCTTAAGCAGAAAAGGTTACAAAGATAGACCTTCATTTCCTAAATATGCTATCTAAAATCAGAAACGAGACATTTTAGTATCCATACATCACTTTTAGTATCCACCACACATTTTTTATTCAACGACTCCACACAGCTTTAAACAGCAAATTACAAACCATTTTAATCAAAGATGAAGAAAAAGAAGCAGCTGAGTCATTAAAAGAGAAGATGGTTACCTCATTCCCATTTAGTGTCATGAAATAGAAATGTTTCTGACCCTTGCAAGCATATTCTTTTTGGCGAGTATCATAGGATTGCATATCAAGCACCTGTTATATATAACACACAGTATACAAATGTATTAATAAAACACATAGATAAGGAAAAAAATAGAGGCTGAAAAAAGCCAATCTACAACTGATCACATCCACCAAGAGTTGAAAGATCATCTCAAACACACCTCTCCAACATATTCAATAAGGAATTGCCCCTCTCGTACATCCTCGAGCAATCTCAGGCCATAACCCTTCTTACCGGATTGGAATCTCTCAAACTTAACATACTTCCGTTTTTGAAACTGCAGAAATATGAGCCAGAAGATTAAAATGATATAACTGACTGTGAATGTAACCCTTTCGCTAGCAAACAAGACATTATACCTGCTGATTTGAGCACAAATCGCCAGCTGGGCAGGTACCTTGAAGACATTCAATGTTA